AGGTCAGCCACACCGGGGGTGAGGAGGGGGCTGGGGTGGGTAGGGGGCAGCCAATACAAAGGCACAGCCAATCAACCTGTGTCCCACACAGGGTCTGAACCAGCGTGATGCTCCTAGTCTGGATGGGCATTGGAGAAATAGCCCATCTAAGACCTGAGACACAGAAATAGTAAGCAGATGGTATTAACAGGCTCTTCATAAACCAGATACCAAAGAGTGCCTTCTAAGTGTGGACAGAGAAAATGGCAAGTCTTTTTGCTGCAGAGACGACTGATCCTGTATTCTTTTATTCAGTCAACAATTTCTATAAGGCCTCTCCAATCTTTCATCCAGTGATTGTGTCATAATCATAATCAAAGCCAGACTATAAGCCTCTAATTGATCATACGCTTTGCAGAACAAAACACTACTGACCAGGTATCCCTTATGTAACCATGAATCCTGAGACTGTACACTCTAATTGGTTATCAGGGAAACCTGTGGCTCAACCCCAGATATCTGGGAAAAATACCCTACAGGTCTTGTCTATAAAGATTGTTCTCGAAGATAGTAACTTTTGGCCTAGCTCTCTCTCCATTCCTGGTCATCATGAATATGTGATGAAAATAATATCATTTCATAAAAACAACACAAATTGAGACTATCCTGAAGCAAAAGGCAGAGGGATGCTCATCAGTTACAAAAATTCACAGTTGTTGTAGAAACTGTGCTTGTATGCTTTTTCTATTTCCTTAAACCAATAGGAGGAAACTTCTGCTTCACTGGCCCAAGTAAAGTAACAAGAGACTGATTGGTTGGCTTGAAATTGTGTGAAACAAGAAAGGGATGGGAACATTTGCTCCATCTGGAAAGGGCAGCCCAACTCTGCCAGCAACAAGCCGGGTGGCACTTCCACAACCATCCCCCTGCATCAGTTCTGGGCTTAGGATGCCTTGGACAGAAGAAGACAGCGTCGTGCAGGCCAAGGAGTAGCGTCGGTGCAGGGGACATGGGGTGATACTGCTTTTCAAGGAACAGGGAAGAAAGTGTGAATGAAATCTTTTGATTAGTCTCTGACTCAGAGTCCTGAGATTTCTATATCCCTATCACCAGAAGACTCAAAATAGTACAGGGGTACAGCAACATCCCTAATTTTGTCAGTCCCTCTGATAATCACATAATTATATGACCCCCCCCACCAAAGGTCTGTAGATTTTCTTATATGAATATATTATAATTTTTTTAAAAATACTTACTTACACATAAAAGAGCTGGGGTGTAGGCCAGAGATGCTGGGGTGAGGGTGGTAGTGGCAAAAGGATTCACCAGAGACAGTGGGGAGCAGAACAGGCAGATCGACAAAGTACACTGCTGAGGGGAGCAGCGGGCGAGA